GCTGAGACATAAAGGATGAGAAGATGCTGGTCCCGCAGCCCTCTGGCAAGAGGGTACGGGGCAGACGAGCAGCAGGCGCCACGGACCTGGGGCAGGAGCGTGCGGCGAGGAAAGAACCAGCAGGCTCGTGGGGCCGGAGCCAAACGAGAATGGGAGGTGACAGCTTTCCTGCCCTCATCCAGCCAACACGTCTGTCAGTAGGTGAGATGGGGGTCCAAACGGGCAGGGGTTGGCTTCCAGAAGCTTCGGCTGCTGGCGGGATTAGGGGAGCCTACCGTCCTACAGATTCATTTACAGCCAGTGATTTGCTGAGGGGGCCACTGAAGCTCTGGGGGAAATCCCCTGAAGGCCGGAGGGGGCCGGAGGTCAGACACAAAGCAGAACAATCGGTCTCCCGGAAGGACTGCCCCAAGGGAGGGGGCAGCCCGGAAGCAGTGCTGGGACAGGGAGGGACCATGCTTCACCCCTTGCAGGGTTCATGTGCCCGGGAAACGAACTGCGTCTTTGCCCCTTTGATGCTTCTGTCTCCTGCCTTGGGCCCATTCATTTTTGCTCCTTTCCTTGGAAAAGCAGTTCCAAGGCTGCCCCCTGCCAGGTTCAGCAACAGCATCCTTATTTTGCCAGGCTTAGGCATGGGGCGCTGGCTCTGTGGGTCCCCAGAGGGCAAAAGCCTGAGCAATTATGGCTACAGGCTTCCAGCCACCAAGAGGATGCTTAGCAATCAAGTTCATGGCCACACAGTTCGGGTTTCCAAACACTTTTGAGAAGGGGAACTCCAAGGGGCCCTCACTGCCAAGTGGAAAGAGCAGAATTTCTCCACCTCAGGACCACTGACATTTGGACCAGACCCTTCTTTGCCTCGGAGGACTGGCCTGTGCACTGCGGGATGTTTGTCGGGGTCCCTGACAACCTACTAGATTCCAGCAATGCTCCCCCAAGTCGTGACAACCAGCTTATCTCCAGACATTGCCAGATGTCCCCTGTGGGGGGGCAAAGTTGCCCCCGGGTCAAGACCACCAGCTCAGAGCCTTCCTGTGTGGGCATTCATAGCTAAAGAATGGATGGTTTTACTCACCAGCTGGGGAGACCTGGGACCCCCAGACTTCCTAAACACTTGTGATTTTGTTCTGCCCATTGAAAAATATTAGGAAAACATAGGAAAGTCAAAAGAACCAAATAAAATTCACTTATAATCCCACGCTTGGTGGCTGATCTCTCTTAACAATTTGGTATACTTCCTTCCAGTCATTTTTCTGCATTTGATAATCCTAAAAACTATGGTTTATGGAGGACATATCCTGTGCTTAGGCATCAGGTAAGACTCGGCTGAGTGGCAGGCAGGGGTGGGGTATGGAGGAGGGTTTGGGGAGCCTTTGTCCAGATTGACTGCTGGATGAAGCACCCACAAGGCTGGCAGCCCCCCTTCCAAAGGGACAAAAGCGGATTTAGCATGCCACCCCATGTCCCCCATTTCCTGTCTACCCTCCTTCCTTCCCTACTACCAGAGCTGAAGTCAGCGGAGTCTGGTTTCTCAGCAGTGCAACTTGCTGAAGCCAGTGGTCCAGCTTCCTGAATCTCAGTTTCCCTAGCAGAGAAGTGGAATAATAATTGTCCTCACCCCATGGGATGCTGTGAGACCTGAATGCGATCAGGCAGATAAAGCATTTGATGTGGGGCTGGGCATAGACTGAGTGCCCAGGAACTGCCAGCGCCTTGTTGCAGCCACCTCTCTCTGTCCTGCACCCCAGGTCTGCTGTGTGCCTGCTTTCTGAAAGCTGGGTTCAGCTTTGTCATCCTGGGGCTTCACTAGTGCCTCAGACAGCAAAGAATCTGCCTGCAATGAAGGAGACCCAGGTTCGATCCCTGGGTCAGGAAGATCCCCCGGGAAAGGGATTGGCTACCCACTCCAATATTCTTGCCTGGAGAACCCCAGGCACAGAGGAGAGTCTGGCAGGCTGCAGTCCATGGGGCTGCAAAGAACTGGACATGACTGAGCAACTAACTAACAAGTCCCAATGCCTTCTCTCAGCAACTGGGAGCCACAAAGGGTGACTGAGGGGGACTTCCAGACGCCAGGACAGGTCAGCAGGAATGGGAGTTTGGGGCACGGGATTCCCCCAGAACCCCGCTATGATCTCAAGGACCACATGACTTAGTGGTAAGAATTCAGCTTTCTGATTCAAGCCTAGATTCCAATCTCAGATCCTCATATACGATCTGGGACATGTGACTGCACTTCTCTGAGCCTCAGTTTCCTCTTCTGTAAAATGGGGAGAATCCTAGTTCCTCCTTCATAGGCTGTATGAGGGGATCCATGGAGACTTGGCAGATATTCCTGCTCAGTGGATGGATGGGGCAATTCATGGGGTGATGTTCAAAGGCAAGGGAGGTCCAGACAAGGGGAAGGACACACTAGGATGCAGGAGCCAGCCTATCAGTCTCAGATCCAGTTGTCAAATTTTCAGAATTATTTGAACCAGCTGTTACATAAAATTAAATTATATTACTTTAAAAACTAAGGTCTTTGATACTTAAAACTCATCACTTCCTCACGATCTTACTACATCCTACATCTACGCCATTGGCATTATTTACATTTTTTTCTATGATCTAATTGGAGAAGGAAATGGTAACCCACTCCAGTACTCTTGCCTGGAAAATTCCATGGATGGAGGAGCATGGTAGGCTACAGAACATGGGGTCGCAGAGAGTCGGACACGACTGAGCAACTTCACTCACTCACTCATTCACTCACTGTATAAATGGTTGGTTGCTCAACATCAGTCATGGGAGTATTTACAGCAAAGAAATTGGCAAGCACTGCAAATAGTGCTTTGGGCCCCAAGCCACCAGTTGGTAAGTATATACCAGCACCCCACTGGGTTTGGAGCTCAGACCTGGCTCCATCCTTCCTTCATCCTCCGAGACTGGACCAAGCGAAGCGCCAGGCTGCCCCTGGCTCCACTAGCTGGTGGTGGGCGCCCCCTGGTGGCATCTTCAAGCATTCTCCATCTCCGCTGCTGACGAATCCTGCACCTTGAAGAGAGGGCGCAGGGAGGCGGTCCTCTTCCGGTAGAGACGGAAAACCAACGTGGGGGAGCAGAGGCGCTCCCCGGGGTCCTTAGGGGAATCCGGAGACCTCTCCCCGCCCAGATGGATGGGGTAGCAAAGTCCCAGAGGAACTGCTCAAATGTCCCCCAAGTCCTCCAGCCTCTGGGGCCCCACCCCAGTGATGTGGAATCCACCGGCGGACTTTTCTGATCCCTGATAAAGGGGAAGTGAAATCCCTGTTGCTCTCTTAGGAGCCCGCCCTCTCCAGGGTTGGCTGTCCCCGCCCGTGACGGATACCCCGCGCCACCGGCGCCCCCAGCAGAGCAGCCTGGACCCACCTTCCGGTGTATCACAGGTGTTCTGGAGGTTCAAGGGCAGGGGGCAGGGGGGGCAGAACCAGGCAGTGCTTATCCCCGACTCTGTCCCCTACGGCCCGTTGCTTTTTGCGTTCCTCCTGCCTTTCCCCCAGTCTCTCTCTCTGAGTTGCAGCCAACACACCCCCCACCCCTGCCCCAATTCGACCTTTTCTTTGAATTCTTTCTCTGCAGGTTATGCCACGGTGTGGAGGGGGTCCTGAATTCCCAAAGAGGCCCTTGGAGGCATTTTTCTAGAAGAGAAAAAGTCCCCTGAGAGGAATGCTCTAGAAGGTAGAAGAGAGAGAGAGAGTGTGTGTGTTTCCTTCCCCGTGTGCGTTAGTGAGCCGTTAGTGAAGTCGCTTTGTGTCCGACTCTGCGACCCTACGGACTGTAGCCTACCAGGCTCCTCCGTCCATGGAATTTTCCAGGCAAGAGTACTGGAGTGGGTTGCCATTTCCTTCTCCAGGGGATCTTCCCAACCCAGGGATCAAACCCAGGTCTCCCACATTGCAGGCAGACGCTTTACCAATGACTAAAAGGCGTTAGGAAGCAAAGATCAAAAGGCTGAAACCCGGCTCAGCCATGTCAGGAAGTAAACCACACCCTTCTCCTCTCTAAGCTTTTGGCGTCCTGACCTGACCCTCGGGGTCCACGTGGGTTTCAATGCTTAAATAGGGCCACTAGCTGTCCTAATCTGCTGGAGCTGAAAGCCTTGTAGCCCACTGATATAGGACTTTTGGTACTGAAACCAGGAAAGTCTCAGGACATCTGGTCACCCTACACTGAAGTCAGGGACAAGCTGACATAGAGCCTGACCCAGCCTGCTTCCTGTTTGTAAACAAAGTTTCAATAGAATTCAGCTAAACCCCTTCATCCATGACGCACAGTCAATCGCGGCCTTCATGCCAGGATGCCAGAGTTGAGAAAATGCGACAGAGACCATGTGGGCTGCCAAACCTAAGATATTTATGATCTTGCCCTTTAAGAAAGAGTTTACCGGGCCCCAGACTCTCTGTGCTGGAGAAGGAAATGGCAACCCACTCCAGTATCCTTGCCTGGAGAATCCCATGGACAGAGGAGCCTGGCGGGCTACAGTCCAGGGGGTCGCAAAGTCGGATATGACTGAAGTGACTTCATTTCACTTCTTCAAACTCTGTAAGACAGCCAGTCAGTTGTAGGAAGGCCTTGTGGATTGCAGCCAGGCTCCCCCTGTGAGGAGGGGGCCACTGGGTGTTAAGGGGAGATGAGCCTCATGCAGAACAGAGACAGGTCAGGGTAGGCTTCTGGGGAGCATGGCATTGATGTTTGGAGAGGGTATCTGGCAGAGATTCGGGGTGCAGGGGACCAAATTCTGCAGGCTTGAACTGTCATGGGTGGGGCACCGGACAAAGTGGTTCCTGGGGCCAGCATTCTTTGCCCCTCGACAGCCTGAACCCCTGCCCCAGCGCCCAAGGATACACCGAGGTGCCCCCTGAAGTAACCCTAACAGCCTGTGCAGGGGGCTTCCTAAGGGGCCTGGGGCTGGGGCTGGGGCAACAGCTGAAGGACCCACTCCCCACCTGAAGGAGGCAGCTTGAAGCATTCATTCAGCAATCACTTGTTCACCAAACATTTACTGAGCATCTGCGCCATCCTGGACCCTGAGCTGGGCCCTGGGAGACCTCTGTGAGCACCTCCATCAAGGCCCTGGGGGGAGGCGAGGGAGGGCAGGATGGGGTTAGTCTGTGGCGTTCCGCAGAGTCCCCTAAGGAATATGCCCAGCCCCCACAACTCAATGTGGGTTTCCTGATACCCCCAAATGAGGGGTGCGGGGAATGACAGGAAATGAACTAAGGAATCCAGTTCAGAGTGCCCCCTTCCTGTGCAGTGACCATAGCAACCAGAAGGGAACGTTAGCGGGCATGGCGGCAGGGAACTGACTCTGAGTCCTCCTGGGGAAGGGAGGCGTTAGAGGGAGCCTGGGACACACGGGGGCTGGGCAGGGAGCTGGAGGGGCTGTCTGCAGCCTCTCCTGGAGGTTCTGCTTGCCAGGCCTGCTTCAGTGCCCGGACCCCAGCTGCTCTCAGTCCTGTGGATGGCGGCCCGGGTCCCCGCCCAGAAGATTCCCGTCTCTAGGGGTATCCAAGGAAGCCCCACCCGCAGCTTAGAGCCTCGGCATGTGGGCATGGGCTGTGGCTCAGCAGCCAGGAGCTAAGGGAGGAAGCTGCGCAGGGTGAGGTCATCCCCTTCGCGGTTGCCCCCCGGCCCCGCCTTCCGGCCCTGGTTCTTGGCCTTGGGCAGGTCTCCGTTGGGCGTGGGAGCAGGCCCCTCGCCCCCCTCGGGCAGCAGAGATGAGATGCAGACCATCTCGCTGGGGGAGTAATCGCGCACGGGGTACAGGTGGTTCTTGCGGGAGAGGCGGATGGCCAGCACCACGGTGCACACGAGGAAGATGGTGGCCAGCAGGGCCAGGATGAGGATGGCCAGCAGACACTGCTTCACGGGGCCCGGGTCTGGCAGGCTCTCTGGGGGGGCCGGGGCCACAGAGCTCCAGGGGAAAAGGCTCTGACCTTTGTTCCCAGTGAAGGCCTCAGACCAGTCGCCAGCTGCCACAGTGGTGCCCTTGGGAGTATCAGAGGCCACAGGAAGGGCTGTGGTTAGGCCCCTTGTGGTAGCAGGTCTCGTGGGCAGGGCCTCCACAGTGGTTGGATCTGTGGGCAGGGCCAACATGGTAGTGGGCTCCCTGAAAGGGGCTGCTGTGGTGGCCGGTTCCATGGACAGAGTCTCTATGACTTTGGGTTCCATGGACAGGGCCTCTGTGGCCGCAGGTTCCGTGGACAGGGCCTCTGTGGCCGCGGGTTCCGTGGACAGGGCCTCTGTGGCCGCGGGTTCCGTGGACAGGGCCTCTGTGGCCGCGGGTTCCGTGGACAGGGCCTCTGTGGCCGCGGGATCCGTGGACAGGGCCTCTGTGGCCGCGGGATCCGTGGACAGGGCCTCTGTGGCCGCGGGATCCGTGGACAGGGCCTCTGTGGCCGCGGGGTCCGTGGACAGGGCCTCTGTGGCCGCGGGGTCCGTGGACAGGGCCTCTGTGGCCGCGGGGTCCGTGGACAGGGCCTCTGTGGCCGCGGGGTCCGTGGACAGGGCCTCTGTGGCCGCGGGGTCCGTGGACAGGGCCTCTGTGGCTGTGCGGCCTGTGGACAGGGCCTCTGTGACTGCAGCCAACTCTGTGGATAGATCCTTCATTTTGGGAGGGATTTCAGTGACCAGTTCTCTGGTCAGAGGGACCAGCGTGACCAGTTCTGTGCTCAGGTTCTTGGTGGTTGCCCCGGTGGCACTCAGGACAGCAGAGTCCCTTGTGGATACCTCCAGAGTGAATGACTCAGGTGTCGTAGGCCCTGCAGGCTCTCTCTGCCCCAGCGTTGCCACCATAGGCAGAAACTTGGGGGCCTCGGTGATACTGTCAAGCATCTCTGGAGGGTCCGTCTGTCCTACATAGTCATAGTCTTGATCATAGTCTTCCAGGTCTGTCCTGTCACCACCTGGTGCTGGGTCTGGGGCCTTCACGGGTTCGTTCTTGCCGGTCTCCTGCAGCTGGAGGCTGCTGCCAGGGCCCAGCAGGACCACCAGCAGCAGGAGTTTCAGAGACATGGCACCTGGAGGGGGGACATGGACAACGGGACGTCAGGATAGCTACACTCCCGGGCCCACCAAGCGCCCATGACCGAGACCCTGAGCAGCCGCAGCTGGTAACACACCTGGTCTGGGGCATCCTCACCACCCAGCACATGCCTGGGGCACAGAAGCCATGACTACTTACCAGCACCACTGACTCCATCTGGGGGCGCTCTTCAACTCCCTTGACCCAGAGCACAGAAATGTATTAATAGTTTCCTCAGACCTCTCTGGTGGTCCAGTGGTTAAGAATTCACCTGCCAGTGCAGGAGACATAGGTTCAATCCCTGGTCTGGGAAGATTCCACGTGCCACTGGGCACCTCAGCCTGCACAGCACACCCGCTGAACCTGTGCCCCAGAGCCCCGAGCGACAACTACAGAGCCCACGCTCCACATCTATGGAAGCCTGCGTGCCGCAGAGCATGTGCTCTGCGACAGAAGAAGCCGCCACGACGAGAAGCCTGTGCCCGCAACTAGAGAGCAGGCCCCCATTGGCCAAAACTAGAGAAAGTCCATGTGCAGCCGCGAAGACCCAGTGCAGTGTGGACAAGACTGAGGTGTAGAAAGGTAACATTAGATCTTCTAGTTATATGAACTTCTGTGTCACTTAACTTCTATTTCTGTACACATTTACAGTGTCTCATGAACACAGCAGTACCTGTGTACAATTCATCAGTAGATCAATGTACCTATCTTGTCCACCAGTGGGGTCCATGAGCAAGAGTTTGGTGACCACGGGACAGGATAAAGATGCTCGTTTGGCCCTCTGAGGCCTCTTGGAGTCTGATGCTGATTCCTCTCTCTGTATCCCTCTGTTCCAGGTTCCCTTATCTTGGCTCCCATCCCACACAACCCTGGCCTGTCCCTCAGATTCTCAGTCTTCTCATCCTTTCTCAGTGTGTTGGCTTGATCCAGTTCCCTTTGGCTAGGTCCTCGCTTACATGTTGGGGATGATAGCACCTACCCGTAGACTATTGTGAGGATAAAATGAGGTGATACCTCCAAAGCCCTTAGCATTTTGCTCCCATCTCCAGCTCCTGCAAATATCAGCTACTTTGGTTCTTTCAGTAAATCTATCCTGTAAGTCCTCAAGGGCCCAGAGCCATCTGCTGCTCTATCTGGGGCCAGGAGAAAAACTCAAATCTGTTGTGAACAGCCTGTCCTCAGTGAGCTGACAGTCATCTCATTTGCCTGAGGGTAGCAAAGGCGACTGTCTTCGTATCACCCCTCAGCCTCCCGACCAGGGAGCCAGAAAGGGCAGTGCCTCTCCCTTTGGCCATCCGATTGGTCTTTCTTCTTGGCCTTGTGAACACTCATGCCTCCTGGGTTTCTCTCTCTCCCCTTATTCTCCCCCTGGCAGTGGCTGGTATTTGTGGGATTCAAAATCTTGCAGCTGAGAATCCTGTGGTGACCAACAGCTGTGTTTTGGGGTGAGATTTCTCGAGTCCCTGACATAGCACCCTTCAGCAATAAATCCAAGGTACTGTGGAAGGGGCCAAGTTGTGATCCCCAAGATGGGCTTTCCCCCCAACCCACCCCTGCACACAGAGGCAGCCTGGGGTGGGAGAGAGACTGCTGAGCTGCTGTGTAACCTGAGCAGATTGCTTCACCAAGTCTGAGCCTCAGTTTCCTCATCTGTAAGATGGGCGGCATTGTCTTAAAGAGGAGAAGGGAATGAGATGCTGCGGGAGGGTCCCTTGATGCTGGCACCCAGCAGGAGGCTACGGACAGAGGAGCAGAGGAGATGAGGGGTGCCTCTGACTCAGGAGGGTACAGAGGTGGCGACCTCCCTACCTCCCCACGTTAGGGAAGCTGCAAAGACCTGTGTGAGAGCAGAGACCTCCCTGCCTGTTCGGGATGCAGCAGGGAGCACTGGGAAAAGCCAGTATCTCCCTTCCTGAAAGTAAGCCGACCAGCTCATCCCAGAGTGGAGCAGAGCCTGGATAATCTCCAACACTTTTCCTTGTGTTTTTTTTTCAGTTGGAGTATAGTTGACTTTACAATGTTGGGTTAGTTTAAGATATACAGCAACATGATTCCAGTATATATTTATTGACACCTCTATCTACTTTTTCAAACTATTTTCTCATTTATTCAATACCTTTCCTTGTACATCACGTAATTCAGAGCAGAGCGCAGTTGTTCATCATTTGTTGGATGACTATAACTCACTCACAGACCCTCTGCTTCCAGACTCAACCCAACCTCTCACATGTTAGTTAAAATTACGATGGTTTCTAAAATGCCAGTCTGATCTTATCTTAAAGTAATTTCTTAAACCAAATGATGATATTTGCACCAGACACATCTGGCTCTCACAGATATCCTCATTTTATTGAGGAGGGGTGAAGCTCAGAGAGGTAGAGCGACTTGCCCAAAGACACACAGCTGCCAAGTCGCGGAGACAAGATTTGAAGCTAGCGAGAACTCAGGAAGGCTTTGTGGAGAGACCTAACCTAGCTGAGAGGACAGAAGGAGCAAAGGCTTGGAACACAGCTTAGCTTGGTGGGTTTGTGCCTACCACTGGGGACCCAGTGAGGAGAGGGAGGGCAAAGAAAGAATCAGGAGGAATCTGGTTCTGATTCAAGGCCGTAACACCCAGAAAGGTCGGTGCTGTCTGTACTGGGTGCTATGCAGGGCACGAGATTGAGAGCACAGATTTTGAGGTCCAACAAAAGGATGTTCAAGTCTCAGCTCTGTCCCTTACAAGTGAAATCACCTTGACTCAGATCTTTGCCTTTCTGAGGCTCAGTTTCATCACCTGTAAAATGGGAACAACAAATGTCACCCATCTCATAGGGCTGTGGGGAGAATGCAATGAGAGAATGAATTCAAAAATGCCAGCTCACAGCTCGTGCTAAATAAGCGTGTCATACAAATGTGCACACACACACACATTCTTTGCCTCTGAATTTGCCTTTGGGAGGCAGACATTCTTTGCACCTCGGGAAAGAGTACATGGCCTAATCTTGGCCCCACTTTCGTGACGGCAGGGGACTTTAGGAAGAGGCCCTATTTAGAACATATTGCGTAACTATGAGCTTGGGCACTGCCCCCACTTGGGTAGTTCTCGGTTCCTGGAAGGCCGAGCTCTCAGCCACTTCCTGGAAGCAGAAAGGGAGAAACAAACACAGAAGACCCAGCCCACCAGCCCCTGGGTCAGGGAGGTACCTGGGTGAGTCGGGGAGGATGGGAGGTACCCCAAGGTGGGCTCTCCCCCTGCACCCGCCCCTGCACACAGAGGCAGCCTGGGGTGGGAGAGAGACCGCTGAGCTGCTGTGTAACCTGAGCAGATTGCTTCACCAAGTCTGAGCCTCAGTTTCCTCATCTGTAAGATGGGCGGCATTGTCTCAAAGAGGAGAAGGGAATGAGACGCTGCAGGAGGGTCCCTTGATGCTGGCATCCAGCAGGGGGCTACGGACAGAGGAGCCGAGGAGATGGGGAAGCCTCTTGACTCAGGGAGGGTACAGAGGTGGCGACCTCCCTACCTCCCCACGCTAGGGAAGCTGCAAAGACCTGTGTGAGAGCAGAGACCTCCCTGCCTGATCGGGATGCAACAGGGAGCACTGGGAAAAGCCAGTATCTCCCTGCCTGGGCCTAAGCTGACCGTCTCATCCCAAATGTTCCCAGCGTTAGCACTGACCATCCCTCGTCCCCATCTGTCTCAGGCAATCCAGGACCCTGGGGCCTGCCACACTGTGAGCTTCAAGGGGAAGTTTACCGGGGACACAGCAGCCTGCAACCAGGCTGCAGCTGGGTAGGCCTCACCCATATGACTGAAACCCACACGGTTTCCAGAGGCTCTGTGACTCAAAGAGCCTCACAGGTAACAAGGAGAGGAGCAGAGTGTAAGCACCATCTATGGCAGGCAGGATAATGACTTTCATCTTTGCTAGGACACGTGTATTGTACCCTAATGAAAAAAGGTGGTATAAACCCCCCACTCTGGATGGGTCGTTTCACTACCTCATCATCTGGGGTGCTCGTTCGTCTTCCCCCCAGCGCTGGCCACTCTGGTTCCTGTTACACAGACTAGGGAAGCAAGGCTGAGGGCAGTGAAGCCATTTCCCTCAGCCCCCACCTTTTGCCTCTTCTCTCCTCTGATGGCAAGAAAACAGTCACTTACCACCAGAGAGGGGTGGGCGAGGCACAGAGAGAGGGGCAGAGAGATGCCACATCCTATTTGTCTTGTCGCTTGCCTGACGGAGGCAGTTAGACGCTGCCCGTTTCCTTCCACCCTAAACTGGGGTACTTCTGCCTGAGCCCCACTCAGGCAGTGTAGACTAGCGAGCTGCCAGGAGGCACCCCCACCCCTCCCAAGCTCTGCATGGCTGCCCTGGACCACTCAGGAAAGACGTTCATGGGACTCAAAAAGTTTGGGACCTCCCATCTGGAATCCTGAATCCCAACATTAAGAAGCTTGAAATCTGAGGATCCGAAAGATGGAGCATCTCAGGGTGTGGGTTGAGCAGCCTCAAGAGAGAGAATCCAGTGGAGGCCCAGGCGTCCCCCTCTGCCAGATCCAAGCTCAGGTCTGAGTCCTGCTGGACTGGACATGTGACCAGGCAGGACCCTGTGGGGCCTTCCTAGGACAGACCCCGCCCGCATATCCTTTGCTTTAGCTCCTCCCTGAAGTACCTAGATAACAGTATCTGCTGCACATTTCCTGAGCTGTTTTACAGATGCCAACCTTTCCCCCACCAGGTGGATGAACACGTAGCCCCCAGACCTGGCACCTGAGGATTGATGATGTTAACCCTTGTGATGCTGCCCTGTTACCTAACCATCAACCAATCAGAACTGTCCAATGCTCCTCCTTCCCCCATCTGGCCTTTAAAAATGCTTTGTAGGACTTCCTCCGTGGTCCAGTGGTTAAGACCTCCTTTCAAAGCAGGGGCTGTGGGTTCGATCCTTGGAGAGCTAAGATCCCACATGCCTTGCAGCCAAAAAAATAAAAAAATAGAAACAGAAGCATACATTGTAACAAGTTCAATAAAGACTTTAAATATGGTCCACATCAAAAAAGATCTTTCACAAAAAAATGCTTTGCAAAGGCTCATAGGGGAGTTCTAGCTTTCTGAGCCCTAGCTGTCCTAGACTCCTTATCTGTTACCCTGCAATAAACAGCCTTTTCCTCCCCCACAACATGGTGTCAGGAAATTGGCTTGACTGCACACAAGTGAGCGGACCCCGGTTTTGGTAACAGATAGGCTCTGGCCCCCGCTCAGGATCAAATCCAGCATCAAACCTGATCCAGTCCCACCTCTGTCACGTACAAGCTGTGTGACCTTGGGCAACTGAACCCACGTCTCTGAGCCATGAGTTCCTTATCTGGAATACAAGATTCCAGTAGCGCCTATGCTTTGTGGGGTTGTTATGGGTTGAAGTGAGCTGGTCTGGGTTGAACACTTAGTACCTGATAGGCGCTCACTAAAGGCCAGCTGTTGTCACTGTCATTCTGCGTGACATAAGGTCATACCCCTGAAAAACCTGCAACCCTGGGGCAGCTGTGACACACTTCAGACCTTGTTAATCAGAGAGAGCCAGGGCCAGGAGCCCCAGAAGCCTGGGTACCATACACAGCCTTAGTCTCCTGTGGCTTCTGAATCACATGTGTCTAGTGTAGACAATGCCCTGGGTACTGTTCTAAGAGCTATGCATGAATTACTAGCTGACTCGGGCCCCACAACCTCCTCATGTTAACTCCATGTGAAATATGGGGAAACTGAGGCTCACTTGGTGCTTAGCACCACATGGCCAGTAAGAGAAGGAGCAGGATTTTGAACCTGGGTGGTCTTGCTCCAGAGCCCACCTCATAGTCACAGCTCCGTACCACCTATGAACCAGGCCTGGAAATTCTCCAGAGCCAGAATAAATGCTGCTTCCTCCAAGAAGCCCTCCCAGATTGCCCAGGCATGATTAATCCAGTTGCTTAAACCTTTTTAAAAAATGCTTGTTTACTTTCAAAACATTCATTCCCATCAGCCCATAAACGCTAAATAGGAACCAGAGACCCTTATGACTTGTGCCACATGCCCAGGGCTTAGCAGACAGACAGGTGCTTGGTAAGCGCTGTGATATTGGTCCATTGGAGTGCAGGCAGCATGGCCGGCCACCTCCATCAGACTGCAAGTCTCCAGTGGATGCCCAGTCCCAACAGGCCTGGCATCCTGGGGGCTCATTAAAGGCATGTTGCAGGAGTGGACACCACAGTGAGGCCCGGCAACAGGCTCACAACTGCACAGGACGTGCCGTCTGCAGGCTTTCGGCCTCACATTTGTCATCCTGCACTTCCCAACCTTTTCTTATCAATGACCCCAGTCCCATCAAGGAGCCTTTCCAGACATTACACACGTGCTCAGTTGCTTCAGCTGTGTAGGACTCTCTGCGACCCCATGGACCATAGTCCGCTAGGCTCCTCTGCCCATGGAGTTCTCCAGGTGAGAATACTGGAGTGGGTAGCAGGGCTTCCTTGGTGGCTCAGACTGTAAAGAATCTGCCTGCAATGCAGCAGACCCGGATTCAATCCCTGGGTCAGGAAGATCCCCTGGAGAATTCCATGGTCAGAGGAGCTTGGTCGGTTACAGTCCATGGGGTCACAAAGAGTACGATGCGACTGAGCGACTAACACTTTCATTTTTTTTCATAGCTGTTGAATGGTATGTGGACCTTTACAGGCACACAAACCATAGTGACATCTAAGGGTTTTTTTTTGCCTTCCTCTCATCCTCCAAAAAACCCAACTCTTGGAACTTCCCCAGTGGTTTTAGTGGTGAGGACTCCAACCCAATGCAAGCAGCATGGGTTCAATCCTTGTTGGGAAACTAAGATCCCACAAGCCCCTCCAGTGTGGACAAAAAATGGACAAAAAAAAACCCCAAAATCACTCAAGTCTCAAGTGTCGTACCCAAATTTGCTGGTCTGGTAACAGAGGAGGTGAGGTCCTTCCACAAATGAAGTCACTGAGACCTACATTTGGTTTTAGCTTAAGAACTGACAATTTTCAGAGGGTATCTGTAGACAGACAGACAGACCAGCACATGGACACACATACACACCAGCCATTCTGTAACAGAAGAACAAGCCTGACTCCATCTTGTGTGCCTTTAATAGATGGGGAATGTTTCCAAAAAGAGTCTTCTGGGGGTGCATTTTGGGTAAGTGAG